CCCGCGGTTACTACTTTTGTTTTTCACCCGCTTCGCAACGCATCTTTTGGCAACCTCTGCGGCAAAAGAAGAGTGCAGCTTTCTCTTGCTTTTGTCAGTTTCTAGGTCAAGCAAGCTTCAGTAGAGAACATTCCGATTATCTCAAATCACGCACCGGATTGCGAGTGGATCCGCTGAATCTGCTGAATGCGAACTGCATGAAGACAAACCATTGCCATTTGGCTTAAATTCTTGAAATATTGTCATTTTGTCAGTAGCAAGCCGGCCTCTAAACAGAGTCTTGTTACAGAATGTCAACGCAGTCTTTCAACTGTGCCATCTTCCACTTGGAAAGACTTTCTGGACCACTACATTAGATCCCGCAGACGGCTGCGCCACTGTGCCTGTCTAGGCTTGAATTGGTGCCCCAAAACTGGTGGCGAGTTTTAGCACTAGGCCGCTTCAAGCTCGCATGCCACCTGGAAAGCAGTTAAACCTGTTTCAGAGACGGCCTGCATACTTGCCGCCTGGCTTCTCTGTTTCATGTGGTTTCCTCTGCTTTCTTTCTGCGAGACCCGACCCGGAAACGGTCAGTCCCCCAGAACATCGAGAAGCCGTTTTTGTAAGAAATAGTATTCATTGATGAGAAGGTCTGACTCCGTTTGCAAAAGTCCGATTGTCAGGGATCTATGCGCGAACGGGTGGAAGCTTTCGTTGTCGTGTAGCACACTTGTGTGCGAAGTGAGAACTTATTGCTTCCATCAAATCACCGACCGGATTACGAGTGAATCCGGCTGAATGCGAACTGCATGTATACAAACCGTTGCCATTTGGCTGAAGTTCTTCTTGAGATGTTCTTCTCCCACCCTCCCTACCCTCTTGTTTCATGTAGTTTCCTCTGCTTTCTTTCTGCGAGACCCGACCGGGAAACGGTCGGTCCCCCAAAACATCGAGAAACCATTTCTGTAAGAAATAGTCTACATCGATGAAAAGGTTTGACTCCGATGGAGTCGAATCGCAGAAACGCCACCGAAGCGAAAGCAGTTGCAAAAGTCCGATTGTCAGGGATCTATGCGCTAACGGGTGGAAGCTCTCGTTGTCGTGTAGCACACTTGTGTGCGAAGTGAGAACTTATTGCTTCCATCAAATCACCGAGCGGATTACGAGTGGATCTGCTGAATCCGGCTGAATGCGAACTGCATGTATACCATTTGGCTTAAGTTCTTCTTGAAATGTTCTTTTCCTACCTTCCTAACCCTCTTGTTTCATGTAGTTTCCTCTGCTTTTTTTCTGCGAGACCCGACCGGGAAACGGTCGGTCCCCGAAAACATCGAGAAACCATTTCTGTAAGAAATAGTCTACATCGATGAAAAGGTTTGACTCCGATGGAGTCGAATCGCAGAAACGCCACCGAAGCGAAAGCAGTTGCAAAAGTCCGATTGTCAGGGATCTGTGTGCTAACGGGTGGTAGCTCTCCTTGTCTAAACTTCCACAGAATGCAAAACGCAATCCCGTTAGAGATTCGTGGATCCACTTTGACATACAAACGGATGCAGACAACAACAACAACAACATCAGCAAAAATAAACACAACAACCAGAATAACACAAACAAGGGCGGCAGGAAAACTTGCATGGCTTCCTGCTTCCATCCAGCGCTCTGGCTTTCAACTTTGCGTAACTCAAGCCTGCAACTCATGCGATAACATTCCTGAAGTTCCAAGCCGTGGCTACGTGTGCTACACGAGATGACGCATGCAAGGTGTCATCTGCTGCTTTTTGAATGGGGATGGCCCTCAGGCAGCATGCAACGCAACGTGGACCAGCTTTTTGAAAAGACCAAACTTCAATTTTCACAACATCTGTTATGATTGCTTTCCTTTTTTATTTCAAGATTGAATATGTCGAGATTGAATATGTCGAGTTCAAACAGGGACTCTTGCATGCGGCACAAGAGATTTTAATTGATCACAGCTTTCGTTGCTCGTTTTCGCACTGCACTCCGTTCATGCACGTGACTTTTTGGCTGGTGGCTTGTTATTGTTGAGCCTTGTCACAGCATGTCCACACGACAGTTGGCCCGTTCAATGCGCTTTAACGACAGCAGCCCTGCAAACAGGCACGATTAGAGTCTAGAGTTTTTGTTGTGAACTTGCCCGGGAAGCCGCAAATGGACGTTGTCTGGCCAAGCTCGGGTGGTGGAGATGCGGGGAACCATAGGCATCAAGAGCACGCCCAGTCGTTTGAAATCCGTTACATCGAAATCGTTCAACTGTGGGTTTCGGCTCTACTCTATAATCCCAAAATTCAAAATCCTCAAGATTTCCTGGTATTCTGGTCTGGGCTCATCAGGTTCTGTCGTAACTTAACAGGCACCATAGGGACTCATACTTCAAGGGTTTGTGTTCTTGGGCTCGCGGTCGACGTCTTGGGCATCGGCATCAATCATATGAGGACCAACGACTACTTTTGCAGCCCACACTCACGTAAACCCCCCTTTACTCCAGAAAACCCGGTTGAAACCTTGAGCCCTTCAGACCCTAAGCTTCAAATGCGTCAGTCTCGGTTTCATGGAGGTTTGATGTGACCGCCGCTTCTACCGTGCAAGTTCTACAAGCAGCAAGTGGCTCTGCTGCACAAGCTCAGCTAGGCTAAGTTTTACGGGGCTGTGCTGGACATGGTCTGACTGGACTCGTACCTTCTGAATTTAGCAGTGACAAGTCGTTGTGTCGTGACCTGCTTTGGGCTCCCATATGGGGTCCATGCAAGGCTATGGCAATCTTCGTGCTGATGCGATGGCAGAGTTTCAAGAGCGGGCGCAGCTCTTTCAGCTCCTGAACAATAAGGATGCGTCTGGCCGTTTCGTGTATGCGATGCTCAAAGCCTCCTGTGTGCCCATTGCGCAGAGTTACTGCGCATCGTGGGACTCTACACACACGGTCCTGCAGGATCTCGAAGAGGACTTGCACTGGGATGTATACTTGTTCCTCGGCATGTCGTAAAGCGATCTTTCAGCCCTGTGTTCACAAACATTGCAAGCACTCAGACGCCTGGTCTGTAAGTAAGCATACTTGCGGTACTATTGCCGAGCACGTGACTGGATTGCGCATGCCTTTTGCCAGTATAATGACGTTGAGCCGTTGAGGTGGATGATTAAGCGGCACTGGGCCCTCGTTTTTCATCCTCGGTTGGACGAAGCATCTGAAGCAGGCGGACGATCCGCTTTTTTCCAGTCCCAGCGTGTGGTTTTTGAAGCGACAGTTCGGCAATTCCACCCAGCACGGCGCTTGGGTGTAGTGACATTTGCGTTGGTTGCGCTTTGTTGTGCCGGTAGAGTGTCAGAGAGATAGGGATACGGGTGAAGAAGATAGATTTGGAGATCTTTCAGAATTTGCAGGAACGGAAGGAATCGTTTTTGTCCAGTATGAGATAAGATTCAGACTGAGCAAGAGCAGCGGGGGCCAACCAGGGTGATACTGCACCCAAGATTGTCCTCATATCCATCTGGGTTGTCTAAATGTCGTAATGTGTACAAGGCGGTGCCGAAGAGTCGCTGAAAGCTACGCAACGTTCATGAAGTAGAGGCTAACTAACCCAGCAGGAAAGTTTCGATGTCAGCCATCTTGTCGGTGCGTCTGAAAACACTTTCAGAGTACCAGTGTGGCATTATTGGCCTGGCTTTGACATATGTTGACTGCATGCACCAGGTTCGAAGCCCGATGTGCACCATGAACTTCGCGTAGATTCGGATTATCTTCGCCGGGGCGATGGACAGGTTCCGGTCGGCAGTATGCTCACAAGCTCAAAGCTTCGTCTCGTCGTTGTGGCTGCATTGGCAGGGCTGTGTGGTCCACATACCTGCGCTAGCCTGAGCGATGGGTGTTTCATGAAAGTTTGGGCATGCAGCTTCTAGACGTTATGCCTTTCGTTGCGGGCCTGAGGTCAACCAAGCCTATGTTGTCATTGAGCTCTTAGTAGCTGAGTGGCCATGTGAGGACCATTCCCGGGTTTTGATTTGCAGTTGGTCCGGGGCTTGTCCTGTGACAAGGAGTGGTTGGTACTTAGTCCACTGTTTTGACCTACTGCTGCAGCTGCTCTGTGTGCTAAGAGCTGGCAGGCCGCGTGCAAGCCTTATGCCAGATTCATTGTTGATGGAGGAGTTCTTTCCGTACCTCTCGATCTTCCCAGGCCGCAGCAGTTTCTATGGTGTGGAGCCGTCATGCACTGAAAGTCAACCGCTCGAGCCACTCGAGGTTCTGACGGCAACGGTTATTGCATGCATGCTTGATGGCGCATGCCCAGATCTTGTTCTGAGACAAGTTGAAATGGTCAGGTTTCGACGAAAGCAAGGAGAATGTTGCGAACTTCGGTACAGCAGGGCCTTGCAAGCTGGAGTACATCACAGAGCAGGCTCGCTGACATCGAGGATGCCAGTGGACAATTTCTAGCTCGAGCGTCCGCCAAGTCTTGGTCAGCTTTGAAGGCCATGGAAGTGATGAGATCTTATAGAATGTACGGCCTGGTGGGCTGCAATTGTTGGGGTCTTGGATAGCACGCCTTCGGCTGCTTTCTGTGTGCAACAATCTCGAAATTCTTGAGGCCAGCATTTCGCGGTCGACGTTCTCAAACGCTTGCCGGGCATCAAGGATGCTCCGAGCCCCGATGACCAGCGTCTCGCAGAGGCCTTCAGACTTGACTTGGCGTCTTTGCGCTCTGTGTATGCCGATGTGCAGAGGTCATTGAGAAGAGCGCGCAGGCTGCGTGGGAGCCTGGCCTGGGATTGCAGACCAGCTCTTGCTACTGATCAGGGCATCTCAGGAGGCCATGCTAAGCTGCTAGCAGTGACCCAGTGCCAGCTTGACTGGGATCATCTTAGATCTGCCAAGATCAGCATCACCAACGGTGTGTTGAAAGGTTTGTGTTGCAGCAGGCTCAGCTTCAACTTGTTTCAAGAGGGCTTGCTTCTTCGTGCTGCGAAGCGATGCAGCCGCTTCAGGTGCAAAGACTGCATCTACTTTGGGCAGCAGTGTCTTGGATTGTTCTACGTGAAACAAGACCGTGTCTGGTCAGATAGAAGCAGCGGCTTTCGTGCGCGTGGGAGCCGCGAGAAATTCATAAAGTGCTGCCTTTTGCGGCCAACCATCAGGTCTTGCGACAGGAGGAGTGGCAGGCGAGCTTGGGAAGGGGCTTAGTGGCATTCCTTGGCACGGACTAAATCGGCTGCATGTCCATCCACACCCGTCATGCTGGCTACGCGTAAGACTTGAGGGTTCGGAGTGAGGTTCTGCCTTGTCTTGCTAGGAGGTGCGGCCGGCACAATGGCACTTGGTGTAGGACGGGGGGAAGAGGTGACAAAACCCGTTAGAGCCACTTGCTTGGATTTGCGTGTTGTGATCGAGGTCAAGATGATTTAGAGATGGGTATAGAGTCTGCTTGGAAGGAGTGGCAGTGCTGACAGGGCACATCCTGTGCGGCTGTGCTGTTGGTGCAGCTGCCTCTACAGGCCGCCTCCCTGCCCTTCATGGCAGAGCTTCACTGCTTCACTTCGATGATTGCATTGTAGTGTAACACATGTAATGTGTGCAGGGACAAGTCCGTCGAACGACGCACATGCCGCAGCTACTGCAGGCTTTGTGTCGCCCGACATTGTTCAGAGTCAGACTAGCACTCCTGCCGGCGCCATGTCGGCTGTCAATGCTTCGCAGATCGTGGCGGCCGTCGCCGTTTTGGAAGACGTCCTGAACAATGGCGTCGATGTCGCGATCCGTGTTGGACGTTGGACGCGACTCCAACGGCGGGCCCTTCATAGTCGTGGCAGTCGAGGGCGGACTTGGGTTGCGCGCTGCGGCCCGCAACCTCAGCCTTACACCGCGCGGTCCGCAACCTAAGTGGCCCTTTAAGTTTTGAAGAGGCCAGAAGAGGCCGCCCCACCAGGCGCGCGAAGAGGCCAGAAGGGGCCACCACCACGTGGTGGCCGCCGGCCACACTCAGATCCCCGTCGTCCTCCACACGGCACACACACCTTCAAATGCTGGTTAAAAGTCGCACAGTCTTGACTATAAACACATTGGAGACTTAGGGATGGAACAGAAAAGCACCTCATTCCTCTCTACGACACAATTGTACATCTGGGTACTAAGCTGGCTCTGAAGGAAGGGGCGGCAAACACCCTTGACTTTGTAAGCTGCTAGAGAAGACAGCCTTCCTGCCGATGCTCAAGACTAAAAGGCGCCCGGGTATGGAACTTGGGGCTTTGGTGAGGTTGATTCACTCCGGGCTTTCCTCTAACCTTTGGGGTCTTGCCTGTCCCTTTTACTGCGGTCCGGCTAGCATCCCCTCACTGATCCTCGCTTTCATTGGTGGATTTCTGTGTGCCTTGGCTCTTCTGGCTTGGTTCCTCCTTTTCCTTTGGTGGCCCGGCACTCCTGACTTGCAGGCGCCACAACGGAGGACTCCCTCCTCTGCTGCCTTGAGGCGCAGGCAATACGTGGATGCTAGAAGGTGAGCCTGACACTGTTGCTTTGACTGCTTCTGTGGGGCCTCTTCGTGTCACGGTGCAAGGGCCTCTCAGAGAGGCGACAGTGCTCCTGCAACACCTCCAGCTCTGCGACCTAGGCCAGGCTGACTTGACAGGTTCCCCTCCTCCAGGTGCCAGTGCTGCTGCCTCCGGGCCCTCTTCTTCCTCGGCTGCTCCTACTACCGTCCCTGTTGCACAGGACCACTTGCTGGCCCAAGAGGCCCTACCTGCCGTGACTAGACGACAAGCTGAAAGCTCCTTCCCTCCTTGCCCCGCTGCTTGGTTGGATCGTGCCACCCAGCCCGGCCAGTGGGCTCGCCTTGTGTTGTCTGGCAGCTACGCCACGCCTCTTCCGTCAGAGAATCTGCGCCTGGCCTCACGGTTCTATCCCGTGGTTGGTGGTGTTGGGGTTCAGCCTTGCCTCTACACTTCTTTCAGGTCTTGCCAGGCTGCCCTTGGACCCATCTCTCAGTCGCCAGCTGTGCTGCACGGGTTCCCCTCAGAGCTTGAGGCTAAGATCTATGTTGACGCGGCCGGCCTCGCCTGGCCCTTGGGTGGACAATGATGGAGGAGCTCCTGCCCTTCAGCGAAAGGCCTGCCCTCTGGATTTACGAGCATGCCGATCCGCAAGGCCAGGGGGCAATCGAGTGTGCTGCTTTGGTTCTTGCCAAAAGGCCCACTGGCCTGCTAGCTGCTATCCCCCAGGGGGTGATTTCCGAGGAGGAGCTTGCTGTGGCCCGCGAGGCCCAAATGGACGACGTGCTTGGGCCTTCCGTGGTGCTGGAGGCACCTGCTATCGAGGACTCGGGCGAGGGTTTTCTGCCTTTGCCAGACTTCGCCGTGTCAGCCCTGATCGTCGACTTTTCGTCGCTCGCTGCCCCTCGCTTCCAGCCCTTGGCCCGCGATGCCGCTCCCGAGCTTTTGGTGTGTTTCGACGGCTCTCAGCCAGGAGTTGTCCCGGATCCTGCTGTTTTGTTGCAGCTAGCTTTGGAATGGGCTCAGGGCATGGGCAGCTCCGAGAGGGTAATGTTTTACTCCGCCGACGAAGGCCCGGCCGAGACTCCTTCAAAGCCAAAACGGCCGGTGCTGAAACTGTCAAAGCAAGATCCTCCGCCTCAGCCCTCCGGGGCTTTTGCTGGAGGGCCCGCCGCCGCGCCAAAGGCCGTGCCACAGAAGCGTCCGACCACAGCGGCCCTTGCCTCACAGCTGGAGACCCTTTCTGCCTCGCTGCCTGCCCTGGTGAAGTCAATGGAGGAGATGGCAAGCAGGCAGACAGCCATGGAGAAGCAACTTGCCACAGGGCCCGCCTCGGCCCTCAGCCAGCCCTTAGGGATCCGCGGCTCCTCCTCTTGCAGCTTTGGGGCCTCCACCAAAGACGGGCCGAACTTGGGCCCACCGCCGACCGAGACCGCAGGTCTAGCAGAGGCAGAGGCAACAGAGGCTTTAGAAGAGTATGGTGGCCCCGCCCAGCAGCAAGACCCCTTGGCTCAGGCGGTGTTGGAACAGTCCCGGGCCCTTACCAGCTTGGTGGCCCAGCTCTCCACATCCTCGGGAGATGGCCTCGTCGAGTTCGGGGCCCTGCCTTCCCAGCTGAGCTCCCGAGGTGCCAGCCAGCGTGCGAAAATGCAGGACGAGCTCTCTTCAGGACGGGGCACCTTCTACACGGCAGTGCTGCAGAACATGCTCCCTCAGCCGACCCAGCCGAGCTCCTTCAGCAGGGGGTTTGCCTTTCAAGGTACTGGGAGCGCTTCGGTGGTTTTGCAGGGCAGAGGCACTTGGGTGCCATTGCCCACTCACTGGCGCACGCCCTCGACTGTTTGCAAGCAGGCACGTCTTGCAAGCATCCGACCACTTGTCCCTGCTGGCTGTGTGCATCGAGCAGATGTCAATGGACTCCGGGCGTGCCGAGCTTGGCTTTCAGCTCACGTGGCTGGAGGACCCTCCGGCCGCGATGTTTACGGCCCGGGGGCCTCGCAGCAGCTTGCACACAAGAGCTTTCGCGCCTCTGGCCTCCCAGCGGTGGGTCGCCATTGTCCTGAGCTATGTGAAGGAGCTGGACGTGATCCAGACAAAGAGGCAGGACATGCGAAAGGCACCGCCCCCCGGCGGAGGTGGGTCTCCTCAAACCGACGAGACAGAGGAGAGCCCTCCCTCGCGACCACGGCGGCCTCCACGCAAGAAGCAGACATAGACGCCCCTCCTGATGCTGCTCAGGTCGGGCCGCTACCTGCCAATACCAGCGGCTCTTCTGGATCTCCTGGCGCCACCTTTGAACGTTTAATCGGCTTGCCTCGGTTCCCTGACCCCGCCGGGCCCTTGAAGCAATTCAGTGCCACGTTTTCTTTTAGGGAGTGGGCGGCCGCCTTGCTGCCAAGATGGGTCGCTAAATCCCGCACGCTCTTTGGAGCAATGCTTTGCAAGTCTTTTTCTTCGCCTGCCAGCCGACGGGGGATCGCCCCGTCTTCCGCGACTTTCCCGCTCCCACTGCCTCACCTGGGCCTTTTCTGTGGCAGCGGCCCCGGGCTTTCAGCTGCACGTTGGCGCCGCCTGCATCTTCGCCGTGTCCTTCATGTTCTGGTCCTTGGCCTTAACTTTGTTTATGAGGGGCTTCGGCCGTTGCAGTTTGACTTGCTTGGAGGGAGCCCAATACCCACCAGCGGTCCGCCTATGATAGGCTATGGCGCTACCTTGTCGCGTGTGACTCCCGACCAGACCGCTTTGCTTTGCCGCCGGGCCGGTCTGGGCCCGAGAGTCTTGCAAGACTTCTTGAACTTGAGCTTTTTGCTGAGGCCCTCCCCCAAAGAGGCTTTGGGTATTCAGCTGCATGCGCGCCCCCTTCACCGCCTACAGACCACCTTGGTGAGGACGGGCGCGAACCTGACACTTTGGAGCAACCTGAGCCGGCCTCTTTTGGCAACTATAAAAAGCCACGTGGCACTAACGCTTTGGGCCGGCCTGTGCCGCCGCTTCCTGTGGCTTCCGAGCTGCCCCAGCTTCGACCCTACCGGTCCCTTGACACCAGCCGCCTTAGACTGACAGGCCGTGGTGCCTGGCCTGCTGAAAGGTGGCTCGAAGGTATCCTTTGGCTCCCTTTTGTTGAGCCCGCCTGCCTTCTGCACTGCCGCAAGCTCCCTGGTACAGACCTACCTGACTTCAGCGCCGAGAGCCGAGATGAGAACCTCGCCCTGGCAAAGCTTTGGTCTACTCAGGGCCTCTTGGGGCTGGTGCCTGGGCCTCCCAATCCTGGTTGGAGGTCCCGGGTCTTCAACTCCTTTGAGGACGAAACTAGGGATAGACAAATTGGGGACCGAAGGCTTGCCAATAGCCTCGAGCGACACCTCCAGGGGCCATCGCTGAGCCTACCCCCGGGCTTCCTTCAAGCAGTTGAGGTCAAGCGTTTTCGGCAGCAGGTCACCGGCTTTTGCAGCGATAGAAAAGATTTCTATCACCAGTTTTCTGTGAGCAGCGAGAGAGCAGCCTCCAACAGCCTCCCGTTCCACTACTCTGCTGCTGAGCTCGGCGAGGCTTTTGCTCCCTCGGCTATCTGTGCTGCAGCCTGGGACCATGATGTGTCATGTGCCTCACGGGCCCGCTGGACCCCCTGCTTCAAATCCCTTTACCAGGGTGACCATATGGGGGTAGAGTTTGCTATTGCCGCTCATGAGGCTTTGCTGTCTTTCGGGGGGGCCCTCCCCGCATCGTGCCGACTGCGCAATCATGAGGCCTTCCCGACAGGTGAGGCTGTGCAGGCCCTGGTGATTGATGATCTAGTCAGCTTGTGCTGCCTCCCCTCGGCTGCTGACCCAAAGGGCCCCTCCGCTGCCAAGGACCTCCACGACACTGCTTGCCTTCTTTACGACCGGTTTGAGGTATTAGGGTTCTTCGAGAAGGACGTGTATGGCGAGACCCTCTTCCAGGCAATAGGCACTGAAATCGATTCCCGCCCTAGCACTGTCCGGGCTGGGATTGTAACTTCGGGTGCCCCT